CCTATGCAGAAGGAGTTAGGATTATTCCCATTTTGCAGATGAGAACTGGGCCAGGTCCTGGCCTTGGGATTTATACCCCTCATCTAATTTATTCCTCCCAACAGCTCAACGAGGCAGGTGCTCAGATTATTCCCACTGGTAGAGCTGAGAAAGCTGAGTCATAGAAGAGTGTAGTTACTTTACCCTTATGGTACTGATGCCACACAGCAAATAAAGGCAGAGCTGGGTTATTAGCCCCCTGCCTGGGGGGGCTGCGAAGGCCACACATATAACGAGATCAATGTGGCTCTCCCCAGCCCCGCCTGAGTATCAAATTGCTGCTTGGTAACAAATCAATACGATGTCATCAAAAGGGATGTGCCTACAGAGACTTGGAAAAGTGCAGAGCAGGAGATGCGACCAGCCAGCTACCTGGGAAAGCTGCGTGCAGCCCAGATGCTGGGGAGGCACGATGTTTGCGTTTTCCACGGCACATCACAAGGGTCTGAGTCACGCTTTAAAGTTCCTGTTGTCCAAGGTGACACGATCTTGTGAACACCATGGTGTCATCAGTTCACCCTTCCAAGAGGGGCTGACCTAGACCCTGCCTGGGGCCCAAGACACTTCATTTGCACCCTATTTCCTCTGGACTTGGACAGGAGGACACTCTTGCTGGTATGTGGCTCACATGTTCTGAAAGGATGAGATAGCATTAGTCACACTCAGGACATCACCCAGTAAGGGATAACTTTGTTTTAGGTGCTCAACAAACTGATAATAAATCCATGTACAGTCATTCACAGCTCCTAGCAACTCAGCAAGACTTTTCCAGGTTCAAAGCAGTGAAGGCAGAGTCCATATGGCCAGGGGACAGGGTCCTCCTAGGTAGCTAAATTCAAGCCCAGAAACTGCTCAGAAAGAGGGCCCCAGATTAGGGTCTGGAACCCCCTTTTTTTGGAAGCTTGACAGATGAGAGGATCTGGTCTTCTGGAAGGCCAGATGTAGCCATCAGTATTATGAGGGACATCCTAGTCTTGGCTCTGGAATATCAAAGGTGTGGTCAGAAAAACTGCAAGCACTGGTCCCAGAGGAAAGTCTTCTGCTGTGCCGGCTGTCTCTGTCTCTGTTTGGCCCTCCCCCAGCTTTGTGCATTCTCAGCCCCTGCTCTGCCCCTGCAGGCTTAGCCTTATGGACGCATCATCCTAGCTCCTGGTAGGCTGGACTTCAAGAGGGGTTCAGCCAATCAGACGTATCAATGTGAGCAGGGTGAGAGAGGAGGGAGGTGGAACGTTTCTTCTGGCTGTTTCCTGCAGGGTGGCTGCATCCACACTCCCCTCTGCTCACCCTGGGCTGGACCGGCCTCTTGTCTTGTGTCTCTCCCCTGTAACTAGGCTCCTCACCGTCTTCTTTCCCAGTGGTCCATCCAAGTGGGTTTCTGTTTCCTACTGGAATCCTGATCCTCATGCCTGATGGTGAAAGGACACTGGTACCAAATCCTTGCCCCACCACCTCCTCTTTGCCCTCCCCCCCCCTTACCGCCAGGGTCATTAAAGATACCTGACTTGACTATGTACCTTCAAGACTTCTGGCAGGTCCTCCTGCTCCCTTTTCCCAGCCACCTCCCGGGGGAGAGCTAAATTTTGTGTTCTACCTCATCTGCCCACTGGTGTAGAGTCTGGGCTTGAATCCACATATGGCCAGTAAGTCCAGTGCATTTGGCATTTGGATGCCATTGGGAGAGACAGGACCACCCTGCCCCAGTTCAGCCCAGGCCCCCCACTCCCTATGGCCCCACCGTAAGCCACCTTGAGAACCCTGAATTTGGGGGCCTCTGGATAAGGACACATGAGGTAAAAAACTTGCCTATTTAGGATTCTGTAAAAACTGCTTGAAATGTGAATCAAAATACTTACTTTTCCAACAAACTGATGCTCTCTAACTTTAATAATAAATTTTGCTTACTATTGTGTAATTTTGACTCTATAAAACAACCCCTACTTCATGGATGCAAGACTCTAGCCATCATGCACACAGGAAGCCCACCAAGTCCTGGCTCTTGCTCCAGCTTGTTCCTGGAAGTGCCACCCACTCCTGCGATGCTAACATTAGCCTTTCAATGTCTGGGTAGACAGGCTCTGGCCTCCAGCTGTAACCATATCACCATGTGCGGCCAACTCTTAACCCACACGTGGATATACACTGACCACTGTACATGAAACTGTAGAGACCACATGTGGTCTCCTTTTCGGAGAGACACAATTATACGTGAGAATGGCTAACCACATCCCGTTCAGGTTCTAGAAAATGGTATGGGGCATTTGAGACCCAAGCAGTTAATAGCCTCTACAAGAGCCAGCAAATATCCAAGGCCAGACAAAGCAAAGGTCTGTGCAAAGTTCTCTTATTGTCAAAGTCATGCAAGTGAAGGTCTCAGGTGGGCACGTCTTCCAAGATCCTTTCGTAAAGTCTTTGTCCACTTCACTACAACACAACAACTAAATTATGCCAGGCTTGAACCATATAGAAAAACAAAATCTTTCCAAAAGTATCAATACTTAGATTATTTTGAAATAATTCTGCACTACATTTGAGACTATCTGTCCCACCTATGGGCAAAAAAGATGAATTTCTGAGCATCTGTATGTACCAAACATATATACATATATTCACACGCATACATGCATGAGTGTATGTATATATATGTGCATGCATATATATGCATTACTTATTTACTATTGTACATATACCCGCCATATCCCCCATATGATGATCAGTATATGCATGTGTGTGCATGTGTATGGGAGAGAGAGAGAGACCAGGGCTTGAACCAAAGATCATTACAGAAACCAAACGTGTACCCCTTGTTTAGCTGAGCACACAGAAGCGTACCTTCAGAGTGCCAATGAGTGTGGTTACTTCTGGCTCACCCTAAATATTTCAATTAAGAGTAGAATCCACTTCTTGGTCTCACTGATCCACACTTTGTAACCCATCAACAAGTGTGGAACATTAGGAAAGCCATTTGGATTCCGAAGACCCCTCTTCCCTGCAGTGGGGAGACACACACGTGCAATGGCAGAGAATCCACGCACGATGAGCCACTGTCCATTTCTGTTGGCTTCCTGACCAGATGAATGCGGGGATGAGGGAGCAGAATTTCTCCGTATGTACGGATGAACCCCTCATAAAGTAGGTACACACTTCTGCCTTTTTTTTCCTGTGACATAAAAATAATGTTTATATTATAGCATTGCAACTATAACTCTAAAATATCATCCTTTTAAAATTGGCAGTATTAGGTTATTGGCTTCTCCAGAAAAGAGCCCTCGTAAATTAACAAGACACGCAAGACAGCAAATGAAACACAAAGACAAAAGAAATCAAAGCACATCCTACCTACAGAGCGGATTTGCATCTTCCTTTGTAGCATTCAGGCAGCACCTACTGGCCCCGGGGTGTTCTGTTCAGACCCCTGAGACGCTGACAGAATCCCAGTCCCCTCGTTTCTATTGCACTGTTTGTTCTTCCCCCCAGTAATCCACTGAGCCAGTCACTGAGAGGTTAACGAAAAAGCAACTTTATTCACAGAGGCTGAGACTTTGGGATAACAAGATAGCCGATGGCAGCCCTTCCACCACATTTTAGACTCACCACAGTGAGCCTAGGTCTCAACAAAGTTCTTCCAGTCAAGGACACTCGGCAGCTCACTGGAGCCGTCCCAGCAGCCGTGTGGGATGCTGTCGCGGAGACTGTAGGAGTCAGTGGCCCACAGCTCTAAGAATGAATTCTCAGAAAGTCAACTCTGTGCCCATTAATCATGAAATTATTATGATTGTCCTAAATGTCCTTTCCAACATATTAACCAACAGGCTCTCTCAATGTAAAGTTTGTGTCCAGTTTCATGCAAGTCCTGGAAACTATTTAAAAGTTACTTTGAAGACCTATCTCAGCCCGTCTCCAAGAACTCGCCACTTACTGTGCCTTTCCCACTTCACATAAAATCCAAGGAACTGGGGGGTTCAGAAAATCAAGTTCCAGAAGCCCTAAGACACCCCAAAGACTGATCACGAGAGTTCAGATGCATTTGCTGAAAGTTACAGGCTGAACTAAACTGTGAACATTTTAATCTTCTTAACCAGATCTTTGCTTCGGACCCTGCCTTTCAACCCACCCGCCCAGCAGACTTCCAGTCACCTCCATAACGGCGTATTTAGCTGCAGGCTCTGGGTCTGCTGAGTGGGAGTTGGAGGGAGGCGCAGGGTCGGGTTGCAGACTGGGATGCTGCCGGCTGGGAATGCCTAAAAGAATCCTCCCACTGCGCCTTGTGTTCCTTGGGGTCCAGAGAGGCCGGAGAGCGGCCTGTGGCCAACACTGGCAGACCCCTTGCCCCTCCTGCCCCTGACACGCCCCTCCTTCCGCCCTCGGCCTGCCTTTCATGTGTCTGTCCCACCGGCCTTTCGCTGCGCAGTAGTCCTTCACTGCACAGCTCTGGAAAATGTGATCACAGTCAAACCTAGATCTTGAAAAAAACAGGGAAATCAAACATCTTAATGTTGTCTGAGACATCTTCCCTCCCCTTCACACACTTCCGGTCTCCCCTGAAACCTTTGATCCCTTCCAAACAAAAGCAAAGAGACAGGACCACTGCTAGGGCTGGTGACATGTGTGGGGGACAAGTGTGTCAGCTAGTGACTAAAGCTACGTTACACAGAGTGCACCTTCCTAACAGTTGTTAACATAAGTGTTCTCACAGCAATCGTTAGAGTAAAAAGAGTCAGGTACTTAGCCAGAGAATAGAACATATTGTTGTTGTTGTTGTTACTGTCCAGAAAGAATTTTTTAAAAAGAAAATTTCTGTATTTAAAGTAAAAACGTGGTTTCTCATCTTCCACCTGGACCTTGGTGGTGAACCCTCACCAGGCCTTAGATCTGCCAATGAACCTAAAAAACAGGGTCACCCCCGGAGTCCCCACAACTGGATCTCAGGGGCAAACCCCGCTGTGAACACCCATCTTCCCAAGGGGTGAAAGCCAAGGTCTGAGTCGCAGTGATAACAGAGCTGGGGGAGCAGGGGATAAGCCTGAATGCCAGTGGCTCTCAGACGGAAAGAACCACATTTCTCCCCTCTGCTGCCTGCGGGTCGTTTGGGCCTGCACGTGCCCCAGACGCGCAGGACCTATGGTGAGTGGCTGAAGGCCGCACCTTTAAACTGACCTGAGCTCAAGGTGTTCTCCTGCTCGTGCGGTAGGAGGTCTAAGATGCCCAACTCCCTGGGGACAGGATCTTTTTAATATCCTAAGACGTCCGGGTTCGGGAAGGTCCCCTTCAAGAAGCACCCCCCCACCTGCGCGCATAAGTTGGAAATACTTTCCAAGGTCCACACCTCAGCCAAGGAAAAGATCTTTATGAAAAATAAAAAGCGAATTCTTCCCCCAGCGGTGGGAGCCGTGGCGGCTCACAAGTAGCTCAGACCCGGGCAGGGGAGAGAACGCTCCACCGCTCGCGTTACTGGAAGGGGAGCACGGTGTCGGGGAGCTGCAGGGGGAAGTAGGAGAGGAAAGGGATCCCGAGCTGGTAAAAGCCACCCTGGACGTGCGGGTCGAGCATTAGGGAAGCGTTGAAAGGTGGCTGGAGGTTAGCGGGGGTGGCAAGAATCGAGGTGCCGAGACAGCCGCTGGGCCCCTGCTTGGCAACTCCCTGGAGCTCGGCCCCTGCAGTTGGCTTCTGGTCCCGCCGCCCCGCCAGGATACTGTCTATGCTGAAGCTCTTGGACTTGTCGGAGCTCTTCGGAGAGGCGGGGCGCGGAGGGGACTCCCGGCCCTCCCTCGTGCGCCCTTGCTGGCCCACCGCCACTGCCGCTGCGACCTGGACGTTGTCTCCTGCATCCTGCCCTGGGGGCTCGGGCCCCGGGCAGAGGAGAGGTGCCGGCGTAGAGGAGCCCCTCCGGAGGTGCCAAGGACGCGGGGGCGCTCCCTCGTGGCTGGGGGTTGCGGGGCCCGGGCGCCTTTCCTGGCTCCCCGAGTCTGGCTGCGCCTCTACACCGTGCTCTTGCGCCTGGGGCTGAGACCGCTTGGCCTCAGGGGCCCCGGGGCCGGGCTTGGGCTTCCTCTTCCGGCGACGGTAGTTGCCGTTCTCGAACATATCCAGGCAGCGAGGGTCCAGCGTCCAGTAGCTGCCTTTGCCTGGCCGCCCTTTCTCGCGGGGCACCTTGACGAAGCAGTCGTTGAGCGAGAGGTTGTGGCGGATGCTGTTCTGCCAGCCCTGCCTGTTGTCGTGGTAGAAGGGGAAGCGGTCCATGATGAACTGGTAGATACCGTTGAGCGTGACCCTCTGCTCCGGCGCGTCCTGGATTGCCATGGCTATGAGGGCGATGTAGCTGTAGGGCGGCTTCTGTGGGGGCTCCGCCCGTCCCGCCGCGGCTAGAGCGGCCGCAGGGGCGAAGGCCAGAGGCAGCCCGGGTCTCTCGGGGCCGTACAGATAGAGCATGGGCGAGGCGGCCAGAGCAGGCAGCCGGGGACCGAAGAGGTGGCTCATGGCGAGGGGAGCCGGTGATGCGCTCCCCGCGACGCTAGCGACCCGGGCGGGCTTAGGGACTGCGCCCAACGCGGCTAGGGCCCTCCCGGGGAGCCGGCCGTGCGCCTGTCCCCCGCTCTGCCGCTCTCCCCGGCCGCTGCACGCTCTGTCCCTTCTTCATGGCTTCAGAAATGTTAAATAATTGTTATAAGTTTGCTATTATATGTTGACTTAGCGCTGGAAAATAAATTGTCTATGATAAACAGTCGTTGTGTTCCCAGCCCACCCACATTAATTAAAATTTCATTGCTGAAAAACTCCAAGCTTCTCTCTCCACGTGTCTTTTTGATACCAGCCAATCGGTTTCAGGGCTATTCCTTCATTTGTTTATAGAATTAGTCTGTTGATAAGTCCGCCCACCCAAGTTGAATCAAGCTGTGTTTATTTGGAAAAATTTCCGGGCACCCAATATATAAACGCACTGATCTGATGTTTGAAATATCACGTCCACCCCTTGACGCTGTAAGCACACACAGTCAGCGAGGCAGGATGTGGACGGCAGTGGCTGGGAGCGGGGGTCTGCCGGGCCAGGAAGGAGAGGTGGGGATGGGGGGCTGCGAGCAGGGGTGAGTTTTACTGCTGACCTAGGGGAGCCCCTGCAACCCCCGGGACTCCCACAAAAGGTATTTTCTTCTCCCTGGCTTACGTAGACTGGAGAGACGTAGACAGGGTACGATCTCACAAAATGCCTTCTAAGGTCTTTGAAAGCTTTTACATATGCGGGGGGGGGGGGGAGGCATCACTGTCTAAGAGGTTTGGGGCAGTCTGATGAGAAAGGATGCCATCCTCCTTGGAAAGATCCGGGGCACGCCCTGCAGCAGTGAGGACCTTTGCTAGGTGGCTAGTATCCAAGAGACAGCAAGCCTCGACCCCCAAGGCTCCCTGGGGACCCGGGGAAGGGGACTTCGGAGCCCAACTTTTTCTGAAGGGGAAGTATACAGTGCCAGGGAGCTGGAGAAGGGGTGCGTTACCTGGTCCAAAGCTCTGTTGAGGGAAGTTTCAAAAGAAACCCAACTGGCGAGTTCCGGGAGAGAAATTTAAGGTCTTTCTGCTAGGACTGAGGTTGCAAGCAAGAAACACCATAAAAGGGGAATTTGGCAGCTGGCGCGGGGAGAACTGCTATTTGTGAATGCGGGTCTCTTGCTTTATATTCTGCGCTTTCCTGTTTATAACAAGGAGGGGGGTTATAACAACTTTACAAGTGCACGCAGCTGGCCCGTGATTACATTAAGCATTTGCAAAGCCTGTTTGGTCTCCCCAGACCCACCCACTCACTCTGGGGTGCAAGCACCCCCCACCCCAATGAATTTTACACTTAGCCACGTCAGACTTAGAATCAGAAACCTGCGTGAGGCTGATTCGGTTGGAGGTAATTCTGCCCTCGCTCCACCGCGTTGGGAGGAGGGGTGCGTGTAGCGTGACTAGTTCCTGTTTATGATCTCTGATTAATATTTTTTAAGAAAAAAGCACTCTGGATAACTGAATTAGTGTTTCATTGAGTACATCGGCAGCGATGCCAAAGAGAAGAGGGAGGGATGGGGAGGCAGGTGGGTGCAGAAATTGCCCACGACCGGCTCCCACGGGGAATGGGAGGAGAGGTACTGAACGTGCATCGAGGGGCGGAGGAAGGAGTGGGGCGCTGCTGCCGCTGCTGTCACAGACAGGGGACATCATACTGTAGACTGGTCGAGCGTGCCCAGGAGAACTGCACCTCAAAATGGAGAGTCCAGAAGTTTGGAGGTTCTGGAGAGCCTGCGAGGGAACGGATATGTTTAAAATACCGAAAAGAACGTGGCAATCAGGGTCGAAAAACCGGTTTGGGTGCAGGCACTTATTGAGGGAGAGCCAGGCCAGGCCCAGGGACACGTCCAAGCCTCTGTCCGGGGAGCAGCATTTCTGACTGAGGCCGAGCCTCCGGGGCCTGGTCTTGAAGGCGGCCGTCTTGCCCGGAGTGGGCGGGGGCGCTGCCCTCTCTCTAGGTCCCTGGCTCTCCGGCACTCACCAGAGCACCCCTTGTAACTCTGGAGAGGAAAAAAAGAGCATCGATGACGTGCTTTTGCAACCCGCGGTCCCGCAGTCCCCGGGGTTCCCCAAACTCTTGAGATCGGCTTGCCCTCCGCAAGCTCAAGTTTGGATCCAGGTCGGTTTCCAGCCTCTAACAAACCCCAGAGGAAGATAAAAGGGAGTCACTACGCACCACCACCCCCATCTCCGCACCCTGAGCCCTTCTTGGAACTTCCCGGGCAACCGGAGTCCTGCACGCACATCCCCGCCTCTCTGGAAAGGCGCGCCGCTGGGACGCTTCTTCTAAACTCGAGGGCAAATCAGAGCTTGAATTCGTACAATAATAAACACCACCCAATTTGGGCATGGGCCGGACGCAGGAGGAGACGTGCGCGGCTGGTGGGCGGGGCACCGATAGTAAAGAGGGGGAGGGGGGAGGGGAAAAACCCGAGTTTTAGTTGCGGTCTGGAGAGCGCATTTGGTGAAGTTTGCTGAAGTTTGCAACGTTTCTCAGAGGATGTAGCCATAGAACTCCGGCCTGGCGCCCCAATCCGGCTCCCGCGAGGAGACAAATGCTGGGCTTCCAGGCGACGAGACTTTTGTAATTGCAGTAGGAAGGACAGCGCTGGGGCATATTTCCGGGGAGCGCAAGGCACAAGCCCTTTCGTCCGAGATCGGATGCGCCCTCGTGCGGAAGCTCTGTCTAGTGAGGACACAGCCGAGGCCCGGGCGGGGGGCAGACGAGCCTTGGAGGCAGCCGGGCCGAGTGGGTGTCCCGGATAGCCAGGTGGAGACACTGAAAGATTCAAAGTTCCCTGTAGGTTCCTAAGTCTTCAGATCCCAGAAGAGCGCACTCATCTCTGAAGTCAGTGCAAGCTCTTCTACCAGCCTGCAGGCAAGCCCTGAGATTCCCGTAAACTCCAGGGAGGATCATAGCGCTTCCAGCTCCGGAACCCCAGCAGAAATCTGGCTCAGTGTGGTATGGAAACAGCAGACAGTACCATTCCCAGCCCCCACCTTTCAGGAGAAAACCTTCTCCTGGCGCAGGCAGGGGGGAGGCCAGGCACACACCAAGACCAAAGCGGCCTCAGAAAAAAAGGCTGAAGGGGAGAGATGAGCTCCGGTCACCGCCTGCTCACTACCAGGGGCGGCTACTCTTCCTCTGCTCAGCCGGTGTATTACAAAGCAGATGGACAGTCGAGTTAACGACGATCTGTGTCAGCTCTCCAGATAGGTGCCTCACTGCCTAAGGGTGAAGACAGTTAACACATTTGGCTCTACCATGTGTGAGAAAACTGAGGGCAGAAAGATGCAAGACTTAGCAAGTACACCTTACTGACATCCTAAAAACATGGGAAAGGATGATGGTAATAAGGGTACTACTGATAACTAAACTGTCCTGGAGGCAATTATATGCCAGCACTGTTCTAAGTGCTTTTTTTGTGTTAGATCATTTCACCCTCATGGCAACCCCAAGAAACAAATCTTTATTGTTCCCATTCTTCAGAGTCAGAAACTAAGGCCAGGAAGTTAATTCACCCCAGGTACTCCTTGAGAGAGTGTTGCAAAGCCAGAAAAAAAAAAATCACATTGTAATTGCCACTGTGTGTAAATGCTGAGGGCCCTGTGGCAGTTCTGTTGAGAACACTTGCAGCATCTACGAGAGATGAGATGATCATCCATTTCACAGATGATGAAACTGAGGCCGGGCACAAAACACCCTGAGACATCGGAGGTGGTAAATAGCAGAACAGAGATCAGAAACCACACTTTTTCCTCCAAAGGTAGATTCTCTGAGGTCTGCCCATCTCCGGTGTCCGTGAGAGGCCCCCAGAGATGTGCCTAGAGTAAGCAAAGGGAGGGGGACCTCCAGAGAGGGGAGGCCATTGGGCACCTCAGGGCTGGGAGAGGTGGGCATTAAAAGTAGGAAACCGAGTCCTGGCTGGTGTCGCTCAGTGGATTGAGCACGGGCCTGCAAACCAGAGTGTCTCGGTTCGATTCCCAGTCAGGGCAGATGCCTGGGTTGCAGGCCAGTTCCCAGCAGGGGACACAAGAGAAGCAACCATACATTGATATTTCTCTCCCTCTCTCCTTCCCTTGTCCTCTAAAGATAAATAGATAAAACCTTTATTTAAAAAAAAGTAGGAAACCGAGAGTCCTCACACCCCACTAAAACCCAGGAGATCCTTTCCTTCCCACCCCTCCCCTTTGAAAGGACTGGGGAACAGGGTCTTCTGCTGCTTCTCTGCCGTGGGTGGGGGTGGGGTGGGGACTGAGCCATGAAGGTAACTGTCGTCCGGTCAGCTGATGCTGAGAGAAGCCCAGAGAGCAGGGTGAACTACTGATGGTTTTGGAGCTCATCTTGTTCCCAGAAGTGATTTAAAGGGTCTAAAACGGGGCAGCCAGGGCACACACTGCCCTTCCCAAGCAGTTTAGCCTGATACACGCAGTCAGTTGAGACCGGCGATTCCTTTCTCCTCTGTGGTCCAGGTGAACCCGAACGTCTAACAGTGCGTCCTTCCCACGGCCTGGGCCCTGTGGCGGCACTTCCACCTTGTGCGCTGGATTCATCAACCTTCACAATAGCCCTATTCGGTGACTCTATCATTTTTCAGTTGAGAAATGAACCCAGAGAGCGAGAGGTAGCATGCCCCAGGTCACAGGAACCCTCAGCTGGCCCGCGCAGAGGGCCTGAGCTGGTTGGTGTGTGTGTGTGCATGTGTGGATTCGGCTCAGAGAGAAAGGCTCCACTGAGGAGCCTGCCTGCAAAAATAACACGAAGGCAGAGAGAGCCCAGAGGGGCTGCTGGGAAAGGGGAGGCCCAGGGCCAAGGGCCACTAAGTCATGAGTCAGGGTGGTCTCTCTGGACTCCATGACCTCCCAGCCTGGGTGGGCACAGACAGAGCACAAAACTGTACCCCAGGCTCAGGAGACCAGCAACTACCCTCCCAAGGCTCCCCAATTCCGTTCCCTTAAAGGGCCCCGCAATGCCAGCAAGCTCATCAATCTGTCAACCCACCCCCTTCCCTTCCCTCCACTTCAGCTTTTCACACCCTCGCAGCCCAGGATAAAGCACCGCTGCCCCCCCCCACACACACACACACCGAGCCGACACTGGAGAAACCCCAGCGCCAGAGAGACCCGTTCAGGACTCAGACTCTACACCAGCGATGCCCCCCTGTCTCTGCTGCACAGCAGGCATGTTGCAAAAGCGAGAGAAAGGCTCGCACAAGTCCAGGCAGTGGCGCCTTCCCAGGCACGGTGGCCGTCCCCGACTGTGGCAGCCTCGCCTTCCGAGCTCCCTGAAACATTCCACTCCCTTCCTCACATGCCTACGTCAAAAAGCAAACATTTCAAACATCTTGGTGAGGTGAGGCCACGCAAGAAAGAGGCAGGCAGGGAATGCTTCTCAAAGTTTGGAAAAGCATTCCAAATATGTGGGGCCAGAAAGCAGTCCCCGGTGACTCCAGCCCAGCGCGCCCTGCTCACCTGGAGTCCAACCCCAGCTGTCTCTGGCCTGACTGATACTAACAGGCAAACCCTTTGATTTCTACTTGTCCCCTTCCACCACACTGAGAGGCAGGAGCGTACTGACCAGGGATGACCCCGGGCACATATTCCGTGAGACGTCAGGTACAGGCTCCAAGACCCCAGCACATTCTCAAGAAACTTAGTTCTGCGAATAAATCAAAGGTATCTTTCCTTGGCGTCAATCTCTCTACC